TGAAGATTAGTAGGAGGTGGATGAGGAGGAGGTGGAGGAGGAGGAGGAGGAGAAAGAGGAGGAGGAAGAGGAGGAGGGGGAGGAGGAGGTAGAGGAGGAAGAGGAGGAGGAGGAAGAACCAAACGAATCAAACAAAGATGCCGACACAGACGATGACACTCCTGGAGGGCCGAAGGGCGGCGGTGCAACTGAACCGACTGGCGCGAACTCCTCAGAGAGCGGGGACGATGCTGACAACGATGAAGCCCAGGACGAAGACGAGACGAGCGATGAAGGTGGCGGAAGCGACCAGTCCACAAGTGAGCAGGATAACGATGCGGAACCAGGAGAAGGGCAACAACCCACGACGGTGTCTTCGTTGCTGCCAGACACCGGTGCATCTGCCGACAAGGGAGCCACACCAGTGCCACCCGCGCAGGGATCCGGGTCACCGAACGCGGCCGACACTTCATCGGAGAGCGGGGACGACGTCGACGATGATGCTGATGCCCCCGAAGATAATGCGGAGGCGCTAACCGACGCGCCTGCCGGCACCGATGGGGCGGCCTCTGCGGATGAGTGCAGTCGCTCGGACGGCGAGGACAACGTAGTGGATGGAGAGAGTGATGGTGACGGGAGCGAAGGCACCGAACCGCCCGATGAAGAAACAGAGCCTGTGGAAGGGAAGGCCGCCGATGAGACAGCCGCTGTCGGCACGGAGGAGGCGGGAAACCGGGCGGGTGATGATGACGACGAAGAAGACACACCGCCGCCTCAAGCGCAGGGATCTGAGCAGCCGAACGCGACTGCAACATCGTCGGAGGGCGGGGACGACGCTGACAACGATGAAGCTCAGGAAGAAGACGAAGCGACTGACGAAGGTGGCGGAAGCGACAAATCCACAAGTGAGCAGGACAACGATGCCGAATCGGAAGAAGGGCAACAGCCCACGACAGTGACTTCGCGGCTGCCCGACACTGGTGCATCCGCAACCAATACTCCCTCGGAGAGCGGGGACGACGTCGACGACGATGCATTGTATTCCGAAGAAAATGCGGAGGTGGCTACCCAAGAGCCTGTAGGCACCGATGGGGCAGCCTCTGCGGATGAGTGCAGTCGCTCGGACGGCGAGGACAACGTAGTGGATGGAGAGAGTGATGGTGACGGGAGCGAAGGCACCGAACCGCCCGATGAAGAAACAGAGGCCGTGGAAGGGAAGGGCACCGGTGAGACAGCCGCTGTCGGCACGGAGGAGGCGGGAAACCGGGAGAGTGATAATGACGACGGAGAAGACACACCGCCGCCTCAAGCGCAGGGATCTGAGCAGCTGAACGCGACTGCAACATCGTCGGAGGGCGGGGACGACGCTGACAACGATGAAGCTCAGGAAGAAGACGAAGCGACCGACGAAGGTGGCAGAAGCGACCAGTCCACAATTGAGCAGAACAACGATGCCGAATCGAAAGAAGACCAACCCGACATTGGTGCATCGGCAGCCAACCATTCCTCGGGCGGCGGGGACGACGTCGACGACGATGCATTGTATTCCGAAGAAAATGCGGAGGTGGCTACCCAAGAGCCTGTAGGCACCGATGGGGCAGCCTCTGCGGATGATTGCAGTCGCTCGGACGGCGAGGACAACGTAGTGGATGGAGAGAGTGATGGTGACGGGAGCGAAGGCACCGAACCGCCCGATGAAGAAACAGAGGCCGTGGAAGGGAAGGGCACCGGTGAGACAGCCGCTGTCGGCACGGAGGAGGCGGGAAACCCGGAGAGTGATAATGACGACGAAGAAGACACACCGCCGCCTCAAGCGCAGGGATCTGAGCAGCCGAACGCGACTGCAACATCGTCGGAGGGCGGGGACGACGCTGACAACGATGAAGCTCAGGAAGAAGACGAAGCGACCGACGAAGGTGGCGGAAGCGACAAATCCACAAGTGAGCAGAACAACGATGCCGAATCGAAAGAAGACCAACCCGACATTGGTGCATCCGCAGCCAACCATTCCTCGGGTGGCGGGGACGACGTCGACGACGATGCATTGTATTCCGAAAAAAATGCGGAGGTGGTTATTCAAGAACCTACTGGCACCGATAGGGCAACCGCTTCGGATGAGTGCAGTCGCTCGGACGGCGAAGGCAACGTAGTGGATGGAGAGAATGATCGTGATGGGAGCGAAGGCACCGAAGCAAACGATGAACACGCAGAGCCTGCGGAAGGGAAGGCCACCGATGAGACAGCCGCTGTCAACGCGGGGGAGGCGGGACACCGGGAGAGGGATGATGATGATGCAGAAGACACACCAACGCCTGGAGTGCAGGAGTCTGGGCCGCTAAACACGACTGCATTCTCGTCGGAGAGTGGGGACGGCGCTGACAACGATCAAGCCCAGGAAGAAAACGAAGATACCGATGAACATGCCGGGAACGACAAGTCCACGAGCGAGCAGGGCAACAATGCCGGATCGGAAGGAAGGCGACCGAATCCAGTATCCTCCCGACAACACGACAATGGTGTACCCGCAGCCAACACTCCCTCGGGCGGCGGGGACGACGTCGACGAAGATGCAGGGGCTCCCAAAGATGCGGAGGTGCCTACCCAAGAACCTGCCGGCATCGATGGGGCAACCGCTTCGAATGAGTGCAGTCGCTCGGACGGCGAAGGCAAAGTAGTGGATGGAGAGAGTGGTCGTGATGGGAGCGAAGGCACCGAAGCACCCGATGAAGAAACAGAGTCTACGGAAGGGAAGGCCACCGATGAGACAGCCGCTGTCGGCACGGAGAAGGCGGGAAACTGGGAGAGTGATAATGACGATGCAGAAGACACACCAACACCTGAAGTGCAGGGGTCTGGGTCTCCAAACGCAACTAAAAGTTCGTCGGAGAGTAGAGACGGCGCTAACGACGATCGAGTCGAGGAAGAAAACGAAGTGACCGATGAAGGCGGTGAGGTCGGTAAGTCGACAAGCGCGCAGGAGCACGATGAGGAATTAAAAGAAGGGCGACCGAACTCAGCATCTTCGCGGCAGCTTGACATTGGTTCATCCGGACCCAACATTCCTTCGGGCGGCGGGGACGACGTCGACAACGATGCAGTCGCTTCCGAAGAAAACGCGGAGGTGGCAGCCTCTTCGGACAAGTGTGGTCGCTCAGGATGTGAAGACAACCGGGGTCTTGGCGGGCCGGTTTCACCAGGAGCACATGGCACGGAGTCCGCTACAAGAAGCAATGACAACCTGACAGCCTGTGTCGCACCGACTTCTCCACCGCCGACGAATGTCGAAGGGAACACAGACACTCAGCAGCCCGACAGATCCGAGTCCGCACACGAGGCCTTCGCTGAGCCGGCCGCTAGCAGCGCCGAAGAGGCTACACCCACGGGCATCCAGGAACCGGGGCGTTCAAACGGGACTGGAGCTTTGTCGGAGAACGGGGACGATATTGATGACGACGAGGGCGACAAGGGCGATGAGGGCCGAGATTCTGATGCTGTGGAAGCCAAATCCACTGTGCTATCCGAGTCGAGGGAGGGACAAATCGAGGGTACAGGAAATCACATTTTTGATGGATTGCCAAGCCATGGATTGCAGGAAGTGGCTGAAGAGAGACGTGGTGGTGGGGACGAAGGAACGGAACCACTCGATACTGAAGCCGAGTTTGCCATTACCAAGCCTGAAGATGCGGGAAATCGGGATGGGAGTGATGACGAAGGAAGCGCAGGAGACGCAAACCTCAGCATTGAACCTGGCGATTCCAACGAACACGAGATGGCTGACCCTGCTACACAAACAGGCGTCATCATTGAGCAAACTGCCGAAGGTTCCATGGCCGCTGTTGATGTGCAAGACATACATACAGGTTTGGGAAGTGATAGTGGTAGCACCGCCTCGTCTTGTGCCCCCTCGCCGGCTGCTCCTCACAGCGGCAAACCGCAGGCCGAATCTCATGGTAATGGCATCATCTACCAGGGGAAAGATTGGGGTGTTGACGCCCACGTAGGGTCGATTGAGTGTGCCGCTACAAGTAAAGTGCGAGCTGAGGACACCGGCACGATTCCGGCTGGTGCTCATCCGACACCACCACCAAATCCACATTCTCCCACGCGTGTTCGTCGACCACGTAGCCGTAGCCGTGCCTGCCAAACGGCCTGGCACGAGACGGTAAGTACACAGACTAGGTGGAATATAGGCGCGCAGGCGTAGTCAGAGCTCGAATTAGATTCGGTCGAAAACGAAGGAGCGCTCCCAAGTAGTTGACGAAGCATCCCAAGCGAGTAACAGAAGTGTTTACATTTTTCTCTTTCGTCTCCATACCGCCAGGGGGAGGGGGGACTGTGTTGTGGGCGCTTTTTTCGTACCACTTCAAGTCATTTTCTTCATGGACGGGTGGGTTGCTCCCCTGTTTGGTTATATTTTAGACTAGTGTATGCAATGTATCCACGGGCTGGGTCCTGTAACAAGAAGAGCATAGTGTAGAACTGATTTTTGTGCTAGCGAGTGCCAGACAGAGTGGCTACTTCTGCCGCCGCTGCTGTTTTAGACAGTTGTGATACAGTGAACGAGCGAGCGAGAGAGAAAGAGAGAGAGAGAGAGAGAGAGAGAGAGAGAGAGAGAGAGAGAGAGAGAGAGAGAGAGAGAGAGAGAGAGAGAGAGAGAGAGAGAGAGAGAGAGAGAGAGGCCGTTGTTGCGTGAACTGATTTGCTGTAGAACAGGCTCCTACTCATTTGGCCGAGTTTTACGTAGAGCGTTCCGGACGATACGCGCCCCCTAGAGTCTGAAAATGTACAAGTGTGAAGGAATCGTCCTCGACAGACTTTTTGGAGATTGTACCCTTTATGAAGGGAATTTCCACGCACACCGCTGGGCGTTTGTGAGTCCACTTCGTTGCTAGGCAAGAAGGCGTCTAGGGGTAACCGGAACCCGACCGGCTGGCGGCGAGCCGATTCGTTTCCTCCCAACTTTCTGTGCGTGGTTACACGGGTTCGCTGTGTCTGCTGCGTCATTAGAAGTTCCAGGAGTTCGATAATCTGCTCTCGGTCCGCTACCATTGTTCTCCATGTTTTGGAAATAATTTGGCGGGTGGCGGAATTGAACCCGGGTTCTCTTCCACGAAAAGCAGACATCTCATCGCGACGCTAGTGAGAAAAGAGGGGATGAATCGTTCTCGACAGACTTTGGGGAGATTGGACCCTTTATGCAGGGATCTCCACACAAGTCTATGTTTCTTTTTACCGAACGACCCGGGTGGGCGGGCGACAAAGGGAAGGGAGGCAGAGTCCGACAGCCAAGCACAGCCCCACCCGTTCCCCTGTCTCAAAACACGGAAGGTAAAGAGAAGTTCGGCTGTCGGCGTCGGCCGCTATTGCAACTTGGGAACAGTACAGCAGTTGTTTAGCCGCAACTTCCTGTCGTCCTCACAACTTGCTAGCAGATGCTAAATTTTGGGACTGGAGACCATACTCTCAGATCACACCAGACAAAGAAAATGAGCTCCCTCAACAGGTGGTTCTCTCTCTATAGAAAAATGTACCTTTTCGAACTACATAAATAAACAACCTACAGGGTGTTTCTGCTTTGCTTGTTAATCCGGACGAGGAACACTTCTGTTGAATACAGGCTATGCTCACACCCCCGCCATATTCTACATTTATCGCTGCGTTTCATTCATATGGATGATATCCGTCGACCAAAGGAGTGCGAGTCCCCAATGTTCGCCAATAGGAATAATTCAGCACGAACAAGGACATGTATGGCACCAAGGAAGACAGAAACCCACGACGAGGCAACACCTACTATCCATGTCGCGACGGAGATGAGCACCAGGATACACGAAGAAGAATAGCGCACCTGACAGCACCTACCCGACAAACACACCTCGTGACTCCGACGAACCAAAGCGGACAACTCCGAAGCAATGCACAAAAACAAGTCATGTGCACCGTACTTTGTTCCACATGCACTGGGCGGTCAAGCACGAACACCAACTTATTTCCGATGCCTTTTCAACATAGCATGCAACAAGGTGTACAGCAAGTACGCTCAGTGCAGTCTGGACTGCGCCAAGCAAGATGCAATACGCATACGGTCCGAGCGAGCGACACAAATGGCCGCCGCGAGCGTAGTGAGGCCGTGCAAGGACATCCAGGAGCACGCACGGGTGACCATAGATAGCTTCTTGTGGTTACAGAGGCGCAATGCTCGGAATGCCGGCATGCAACAGGATAGAGCCGATGTAGAAAGGCTCGAGAGAGGCACAAACGTAAGCTGAGGACAGGTGTTGTAATTACAACACCTGTCCACAAATGTAGCTAGAGGACAGACCTGTCCTCTAGCTACATTTGTGCCTCTGTCGAGCCTTTCTACATCGGCTCTATCCAGTTACAGGCCGGGATGCCGAGCATTGAGCCTCGCTACCCACTGAACTTCTCCGTGGCTGCCGGAGCGCGTTCCTCGAGGTCCTTCAAATACCTCACTGTGCTGGCGGTGACCATCAGGGGGACCTTCATCATCACCCCCTGAACGATGGGGCACCAATGAGAAAAAGATGCACATTGTGTTACGAAAGCGGTCACGTAGTATTTTCATGGTGAACTGTTTATGCATGCGCTACACAAGCAATTTCTGCTCTCCTCACAAACAGCCAAAGAGCTAGGGAAGAGGGCGAGGGGGAGGAGCGTCGGTTGCGTCCTTTTAATTTTCAGTTTTATTTTCAACATGATGGAAGAACAATACATCAAGTGGTGGGTGGCACGGCACAGAAGCCGTTTTGCGGTAGGAGAACGGGGGCGATGAAGACACGACGATAACTGAAGAAGTATCGGTCAGGCGGGCGTCAACGACAACCTATTTATACAACTGCGTCATTATCGAATGCAACGGCCTTCGCTTACTACCACGTCGGCATCTCCTGCCCCCTGCTTCTCCGCCAAGCAGAGGAGCCGCATGACAACGAATACCGTGTGTGCTGGACCATGCGCGTCAGCCTTCAGCGTTTCCTCGGCTATATCGCCGATTACACACTTCGGTAGGCCAAGCTGGGTGCACAAGGTCGTCAGCGGTGGCAACCACAGAAGAAGATCATTGGACAAGTACAACGAAGGGGTGCATATGTACGGTGAATCGAGAACGAGGAGAGGTGAGAGATGGAGATGTATTCGGTTGTCGCGTGCATCGTGTTGCTTGACATACAACTACGGTATCATCGTGAAAATGCGATGGCGCATCTGGTCTTTGCTTCCTAAAGCAAGCAGTTATGGCAACCTACAACGCAGGCATGGACCCACTCGTAGAACAGTCCATGCCATCTCGTCCGCCGTGTTGCATCCCACAATCGGGTCTCGGGGCAGCCATCCCGACACCCGAGCGGCGTGCATCTTGATGTCGGACCAAGTGTAGCCCATCTCGAAAACAGTAGCAGGAGGTCGTACATGCACATGATATATGGAATGCCGTCAGATCCTCAAAGCGATCATGTACAGGCAGATGAGACGTTTATCCATTAATTACAATACATCAAGCTAGTTAATGCTAGCGATACATGCGCTGTAGCGGGTTTCGTTTTTCATTGTTGACGGTATCAGTGTTTCAGCACCAGGTTCGGTTCAACTCACCTCCCTCCTTCCGTCGGCTGAAAGCATCCCCGCTCAATTCTGAGTTACACACACGTTCCACCGCTACGTCAGTCCTACCGTCTATCATCATATCTCACGCAGCAGTCTGTTGATGCTCATCGGGTGGATCGTGCACTGGCCGTCGTTGGACGCCTTCATCATGAGTCAATACGAGGGGACAACCCGCATGCGAAACACTTGAGCGGCCGCAACAATGTTTTGGCCCACGACAGGAAAATCGCAATCGCAGGCGGCGTCAAGGCCCTGGGGCGCGGTTTTAGGAGGGGCGGTGGGTTCAGCCAGGGTTGGTTGACAACTGACTTTGGCTGTACCCACCGCCCTGCCTAACACCGCGCCCTAGAGGTTTGACACGTCCTGCGATTGCGATTTTTCTGTGTGTGGGCCGAAACCTTGTTGAGGCCGCCCAAGTGTTTCGGAGGTGGGCTGTCCCCCCTTGTCGTAGCTCATGATGAACCCTTACAACACCGGCACGCGCACGGTCAACCCGGTTAGCACCAACAGACTGCTGCGTGAGGTGCGACGATAGACGCTAGCACTGACGTGTGTGCGCCTATGCCTCAGAATTGAACGGTGATGCTTCAGTGCATCAACACCCTGGGGCGAAGTGTCACGAGGGCGGTGGGGACAACCACGGTCAGAGAAACGAGTAAGACATATTAGCTGGCTGTACCCGCGGCAGATACTATAATACTTGGAGCTATTGTAGACTAGCAGAGTAGCGTGCAGAAAAAGTGAACGCTACAGAAAACGACCAAGTGACCGAGAGCATCGATCGGGGAACAAGACCCGTTCGAGCCGCAGACAGCACCGCAAACAACCAATACGGGTGCATGAGGACCCGGGCCAAAAACACTCCTACGGCACCCGCGGCCTCACCATATTCCCATATGAGTTGTGTCCAACCTCGGGGGGGTTGAAGACTAACCCTTGATACATGTATCAAGTGAGGCCAGTTTGATCCCAGTACATATCCGATCGAGCCATGCCTACCCGGTACCGTCCGAGTCAGAGAACAAAGCTATTGGTCGAGGTCTGAGGTGGACGTTCGGCTATGCATTGTGTCCGGGACTCTACACGCATGATTCCGTTGCATAAATGCCTGAGATTCTGTGCTCGGTGTGCGTTGCACAAACTACTGTACGTTCCAGGTGTGGATCGTTTCGCCGCGAAAAAGGGTAACTACCTCAACTACCTACATAAGGACAATAAAAAAAAACACAGAAAGAAAACACACAGAAAGACTACCCATTCGAGATAAACCCACAGTCGAACGAGATGTGGTGGAGTCTTTTCAGTGAGTGGAGGAAAACCGGCTGGGTACTGGACTTATTTCGAGTACATGTTAGACAGCAGTGAGAGTGAGCCCGCAATCTCGCCGCATACATACCCTCGTACTCTCGCCGCATGTTGAAATGTGTGTTGTTCTGTTGTGACTCCGTTATTCTTGTTTTCTTGGGTAACGCTACCCACACGGTTGGTTCTTGGGCGTATGTAGTGATCGATTGGATCTCTACGTCAACGCTGAGGCGAAGTTGTTTTCTTGAGCCACAGGAGACACTTCACACTTCACGACGCATGTAAGTTTGAGGCGGCGCAATTAAATTGGGTTGACCCGAACGGTAACAAAATGCTGCCGTTATTGTTTTCCATCGGTCGTGAGAGAGGTGAACTTTTAAGTTCACAAGGCTTTGACTCCACGCATGCTCTCTGGATTGAAGCCTTCCATACCTATCAGATGATAATCTCTGTGCTCCTTTGGACTTGCAACGAACAGAGAGCATACCCGCAACCTATTTGAATGAAAATGAAACTGCTCTACATCGACTGTAGTCAAATCCTCTACCATATGCATACGAAATCATCCACGGCTGTAAAAAAGAGGGAACAAGCAATGCTCGATGCCTCCGGACGTCCTATCGCTGCTGTAGTAGGCCTCCTGGAGCTCAGTGCTCGTACCCACGACTAGAAATAGTCCACGGTAGAACAATGCTAACAAAACTCAGGGAAACGCAGGAACGCACCGAGATTCTCCTCTTGCACGAGCGCCACAGCCACGGGCAATCAAATACGAATATCATAGAGGGTAGGCATCAACCACCGCGTCGTAGGTCATCGTCTAGGTAGCGCTTGGACCAAGCTCACGGGACGGAACTCGCCGAGTCTGCCCTCTCCAATTGTGCAACTAACTACCTGTGCACGATTTGATTCGTTGTCATTTGCTCTCTACAGATAAGTGACATGTTATTTGGCCAAAAACATATGCGCTTCTCTGTACGTGATATTCATCGTCGTCGCGGCGTTGGCCATAAGCGCTTTCTCGGTATCATATTATCGTCAAGACATGGAGTTTCCTCGAGTTCCGCACCAGGGTGAGTGCACCAGGGTGAGTCTCACTGACTGGGATTAGTCAGTCAAGCCGGCCCGCCCGTCTCCAATTCATGTCTATATTTCACCGAATGTACACCTTTCGCGCGCATGGCTGGAGTCAGTTGCGTGATTCTTGTCAGGATCAATGTGACATCATTTTGTTGTTTTGTGAGCTTCAACAGTACAGACAGGGTGCTAAACGAAGCTGTTGTCAGCATTATTTTGACTATTGCTGTTGTAACCCAATCAATGGTGAGGTCCACCAGGTCGGTTAACCACAGCAAAACAATATGGGAAATGCCAGCGACATTGTGCGGCTGTATTGAATATATCGACGCTCGCAATATCTACCCACCGTGTGGTAGGAGCGCTATTGTCCGGGTTCTCACACAGAAGTTTCCTCTGAGGCGCATGCCGTCAGCGTTCGGGCAATATGGGCCAACGAATCCTCTCCCCTCTGGCAACAACAGCTGCAACTCGAAACAGGTGTATTTCACGAAGAAGCACTGCTTACACGGTGTCCTAGCGACATTCGAACGCGTAACATTGTGTTCTCGACCCTTTGAGAGCACGCCGATAGACCACGGGGGCCGTGCCAGTAGCACCACGTGCGTGCAGAAGCGCAAGTAGAAACAAGGTCGTAGCAGGGCACAACTTCCTCGTGTATCCAACAACGAAATCAATCTTGTTACCCCCACCAACGCGCCGCCCGTCCAATATACAATGATTATTTCGTGGACAAGGTATCCCTCTTCGCGACCACCATCGGTGCAAGCGACCGCTCCCCTACCCCGCCGTTATCCCGCCTCCCGTCGGCCGAGGAGAACACCGTCGACACAGCCACCGCTGTTCCAATGACCATCATCCCGCCCCTGTGGCGCCCGAGGATGTCGTAGCTGCTGCTGAAGAAGAAGAGCGACGGCCGCGGGAAGACAGCTGCCTGAAGAGCCTGGTCGCAACGATCATGGCAACGGTTCTCTTCATGGTTGGCCCCAGCGGCGTGAGGGCGAGGTAGGAATGCCGGGACGACGACAACGACCACGACGGCGCCCAACACGCTATGTGGCGGGAGCGAGCCGCAGCTGCCGCTCGTAAGCTTCGGTGCTCAGCGAGAGACAAATTATCGACGCCAGGCAAAGACCGCCTCATCGTCATTTCGACACCTCTATCGCCAGAAGAACCTCTCGACTGTTGGGTTTGGCCAGCAAGATCAACGTCCGAGACATGCTGCGCTGGGCGGGATTCAGGCGCCAAGGCAGCGATGAACTCTTCAAGATCGATGACACGCGCCTGGGAGCGAGCGATGCCGTCGCCGCCGCTGTGAAGGAGATTTGGACCAAAGTGGCCGCGGCATTCCCTGTCGTCGGGTACAGCCAGGCAAGGACATGGTGAGGCCGCGGGGTGCCGTAGGAATGTCTTGGTCCCGATCCTTACCCGCCGACCGTTGGCGAGAGGTGGATGTCCGGCCGCTCCGGGAATGAAATGTGGTTTCGGTGCTGCGTGTGGCACGATAGGATCTTGTTTCCCGATCAAGATGCTCTCTGTTGCTTGGTTGATTTCCATGGCGTTCACTCTCTCTTCTCGCTGCTACTATAGCCTACAACAGCTGTAGAGCCAGCATTTAATGGGCTGTTCGTTCAACTGATCCTGGCTGTACACACCGCCCCCGCCATAATACTACGCCCCAGGGTTTTGACGCCGCCTTCAAGGCCGTTTTGCTCTGTGTGGGCCAAAACATTGTGGCAGCAGTCCAAGTTTTCCAGAAGTGGGCCGTCCCTGTGGCTTGGCTTACGATGAACCCCGACAAGGACGGCCAGTGCGCGATTCACGCGGGGAGCATCTAAAGACTGCCGCGTGAGGTGTGACGATCGAGACGTAAGCATTGACGTGGCGGTGGAACGTGTATCCAACTCAGAATTGAGCGGTGATGCTTTCAGCCGAAAGAAGGAGGGTCGAGGGCTGAACCCACCCTAATTGGTGACGAAACACTGATGATACCGTCAACCATAAAAAAACGAAACACACGACAGCGTGTACCGCCAGTGATGGGTGTTTATAAACCGAACGACGTAAGCAAAGTGCCATGAGGTCACGTGCCCCTGTGAAAGAACGACTCATGCGCCTCTTGTACACGATCGCCTGAGAATGTGGCGGCATTCACTTGTAATGCGCTCGAACTAATGTACCTCTTGCCGCAGGCCATGCGTCACACATGGACCGTGATCAAGATGTACGCCGCTGCTGTGTCACGATGGCTGTCCCGAGACCCGATTGTGGGTTGCGACCCGGACGACGAGATGGCCGAGAACATGCTCTCGCACATTTTCCTGGGTTGAGTCTATGTTTGCGTTCTTGGTTGCCGTAACTGCTTGCTTTAGGAAGCAAAGATCGAGCTCAATTGAATGTGTGTCATCAATCTTGTGAGGATTTTACCGTAGTTGTCATTATGTATGCGTGGACCGAATACATTTCCATCTCTCGCTTCTCCTTGTCCTTGATCTAACGTACTTACGTTGGCACCCTGGAACTTCGATGTACTTGTCCAATCTTCTTCTTCTCAGGCTGCTGCCAGGCCGCTCACGACCTTGTGCACCCGACTTGGCTATGAGATCCTTGAGAAAACCTTAAAGGCTGGCGCG